GGAGGAGGAGAGGAGGAGGAGGAGGAGAAGGAAGAGGAGGACAAGGAAGAGGAGGAGAAGGAGAAGAAGAAGCAGAAGAAGAAGGAAAAGAGGGAAAAAGAAGAAGGATCAAAGAAAAAGAGTATGTACATGATACAAGACTGTTCACACAATGGGACTATGTGACTATGTGTGGTACAGTGCGGTGGACTCAGGCACTCGTCAGTTTTTGGGCATGTGGAGTTATTGGTATTATCTTAAAGCTTGTTCATTTTTCTTGCTTTTGATGGAAAAAAAATACCCATCTATTTTGAGCAGAAGTGAAGATATTTGTGATTGAAAGGGGTAAGTTCACTAAAGGTTTCAGCGGTAAAAATAGCGAGAAAATGGCCAGCAACATGTGGTAACTTCAAAGCTAAAGAGTCCTTGAAACTGAAAAATGGAATATTTTGAGCTTTTAATCAACCTTTTTCAAATATAATTTACATGGAAATGTGGGGGTTTTTTTACATTAAATAGTAGAACAAAAAACCCCCATTTGATTGAAATAGCGAAGCTGGTGGGAAAATGCCTGTTCAGCTGTTCACTTACGGCAAAATCTTTTGAAAAGTTACTGTAATTTTTAGGATCAGCGTCATAGTCTTCATCATCGTCGTCAAAATCCTCTTCGTAATTCTCAATGTCGTCTCCTGTGGATGGGAAAACAAACTGTCAAACAGGACGTTGAACAAACCTGTACACCACAGGGATATGTAAGTCATTTATTACAACCTCATTCATCATTTTGCTCCGGGCCAGGTGGGCATTTCTGCAAGTTAGACGACCCTTCACCTCCCCGTGACCTGTATAATCCAAAAAATGTAAACCAAATAATCCAAAGAAATTGATAGTTGTCAGCTGGTGTCATGATTCATTGAGTAATCCACTACACATCCTTGTTTATTCCAAAATTTTTGCTACAATAAATTTGTCTTTGGCAATCGATTTTGACATCAGCATGACTTAGATTTATGTATAAATCATATCTTTACTGTATATTTTCAATATCACAAGGAGTCATTTCAGCAAGACATCATGCAGGCCATATATATAAGAGTCTTATGAAAGAAAAGTGCCTATATCTGATAAATGAGAGTCTTGTGAAAGAAAAGTGCCTATATCTGAGAGACATATTTATTGTAATATCTCTGTGTCAGTCTTAGTCAAGGGAAATAATCATTACTTTTTTTCTACTTCTTTGGTGTTCAATATGAATGAGTGCTGTCCCTTGTCCTGTGTGGGATTCTCCTTCTCTGGAGTAGCCTTAGGGTGGATTGTCTTGGTCCAACACAAAGGAAGTACTCACTACTCACATCAAGTACTGAAGAAACTCCACTTGCTTGCTGGCCACGGACAGGAATGGTTGATTTGTGGTTCTCAGTTCTAATTCTAAAAGTTCAGTACTACTAACTACATTAAATACTACTAACTACATTAAATACTACTAACTACAATAAATACTACTAACTACTGACTACATTAAATACTACTGACTACATTAAATACTACTAACTACATTAAATACTACTGACTACATTAAATACTACTGACTACATTAAATACTACTG